CAAAAATTGTTAAAATTTGAAAAATATGAAAAAATAGTTCCAATATTATAAATTGTAATAAGAGCAAAAATAAATAGGTACAGCAAAGATTCTCTGCGTATGATTGGTTTTTTTTATGCAAAGTATATGAAGAATGTAGAAAATGATAAATTTAAATTTAAATTTAAATTTGTTAACTGTAGTACATTTAAATAATATTTTTATTAGATTAACAAGGGTTAGTATATATGTTTTTTGAAAAAATAATTATTGTCATAATGTACGGAATAAATATTTATGTTTAGTCATATTCATAATTTATTATTTGATTATTAAGTATAATAAATTATAATATTTTGTTTTATTTTAAATTCAAATTGTATTTTAATGAATGGATGAAGAGATAAAAAATGTTGTATGCACCTATATAATATGTGACAGATATGGATACAGATACGGTAGGGATTATTTTTGTATATTTGTTTGTAGGTTTTTAATTGGGTAGGGTTGTAACACGTGTTTGTGTAAGTGTGGCAAGGATATGTTGCTAAAAATCCCGGGTGGTCACCCATCCGGGAGCTAGCAACTGCGGCCGGTACGTACGCTCAGTGCGTTTCCGCAGATTGAGCGTACGACCGCGCCTCACCAAGCCACGAGGTATTATTTATACATTTATATCTAACTTCTACATAATTTACTTACAGATTAGACCAATTTATGACTTTTAAGTTGACTAATGATATTAATATAAAGTATAAACCAAATTGTCAACGTTAACCACTGATAAAGTTCATTTTCTGAAAAACAGGTTACAATTTAATTTAATATGAGTATCTGTGGAAGTTCACTTTTATGATTTAATCGAATCCGATACAACATTCGCTTATAATCTATAAATATTTTTCCGAAACTATTTGCAATATGGTATTCAATTTGTCAAATATACACACACATTGCTAATTTAACATTAATACAGAAAATAGCTGTAACATATAATCGATTTTAAATTCATAATAAAAAAGCCTGATTTTAAGAAATAATACATTACATTATTTAAAACTAGTAATACTAGAAACACAAACAAATTGCATAAGTCCTTAAATCCCCCCCTATGTTATAAGTTATTGTAATAAAATTATTGTTAACATAAATAAGGGAAATATGATGCAGACAATTAATGATGACCCCTGTTACCGAAGTTAAAGATCAATGTAAAACAAAAAAAAATTAGTAATTCAAGTGACAATTAAGTAAAAACTAATTTCTCTGACATAAGGCCGTAACTGGGAAGTGAAGTACACGGGTTCAGACCCCCCTCCCAGAAAAAAAAAATCCTTAAAAGTTGAGCAAAAGTATTTATATTTTGAACGTTAAAACTATGTGTTCAGGATCCATAAAAAAATGTATTCCCAACATTTTTATCCGGTTAAGATCTTGCTCCGACATATCACATAATATATATTTTATTAATTTTTCCTTATAATAATAATAATACAACAATCGCTCTTATTTATCATTTTGAAATGAGAAATATATATCAATCTATTGAATATTTGATCACATTTAGGTGCAAAAATATAATCAAATAATATGAAGTTTATAAACGATGAATTAAAAAAATTTAACCTGTTGCAATCAAAAAGTAAATGTTTCTAACTTCCGAAATTTTAAGAACAGTACCATGATAATCAATAATTATTAGAACATATTATTATAGTATGATTATCAACGTCAACTATGTAGCCCATATAGCTTTAATATCTATATATAGGTACGTATAAGTAATATAATGTACCTATATAACGTAAACTGCACGGACTGCAATCGAAAATTTGGTGGCAAAACCCCATAATATATGGGCAAAAGTAATAGAAATGGAATTGTATTTAACGAAAAAGATATATAATGCCCATATTTTTGACAAAAGATTCTTATGTTTAAATAATTGTTTGTTATATTTTTTTTTTTAAATTAATGGCAGATGGTAAAAAAAGTAAATCACTTCCACGTTGGTGTTATCCGCAACGCATGTACATACGATAACTCGATGATCGAATTAAACTAAACGGTATTTCACATTAAATTATTATTCACACACATCATATGCGTAATTATTTCGAAATTCTCAGCCAAAACTTCTACGTTTACTTTCTACCGGGAAAACCATAGACAAAAAAAAAAACCCGGTGATTTAGATAACATTATACCGTCGACAGTTGCAAGACTTTCAGGAACAGCGGTCGTGATCGTAACAACTGTGATTTGCTCGGCAAAATAGATCATTATTATAATCGTTATATTAATAATAATACTATAGCGAAATAAGCAATAATATTAACGATGGGCAAGTAAATGAATTTTGTGAAATTTATGATGACTATCATGATGCTGACGCCAAGCAATAAGAGTTCTACGATATTTATTTATTTATTTATTAAAATTAAACGGGCGTGCCCAGTTACAATTTAAATGTGGAACATAAAATATTTACATAGATGAGTGTAGTTTTATACAATAAGTTAATTTATTAAATTACTAACATATAAATTAAAAGAAACAATATAATTACAAATAAATATATCAATATTGTAATTATTCACATACTGCATGGATCTAATTAAAGGGATGTTTTTAGTGGTTTTTACCATATGAAGTAYGCTGAAATGGCATATAAAAGGTATCAGTTTGTCTAGTCACATGGCCAGGAACTAAAAAAGAAATGTTTGACAATAGATCTGAACAGTTAACACAACCATTTAAAAGTTTATATATAAAAAAATGTCATGTATAACCCTTCTGACCTGAAGTGTATCAATGTTTAAATATATGATTATAATAGTTCATACGAAGTGTGAGACAAACGTTGAGTATTGCATTTATTACTTATAATTCTCAAAAAGCTATTTTGAATTGCCTCTAGCGAATGAATCGGACCAGATGTGTAAGGAGACCAAATTATTGAATTATAATCCAAAATTGACCTAACAAAGGTGCAGTATATAGTGATTTGAGAGCTATATAGGATTATCAAAATTATTACTGCTCCGCATTACAAACCCCTAGCATTGAGGACGCTTTATTTTGAATTTGGATAAAATGGTCATTGAATGAAAGATAAGAGTCTAAAATATATACACCCAAATATTTCACGAGGTTGACTCGATCTAATTCACACCCTTAAAAAAATACTTGTTTTATAAACACGAACGATTTCTAGTGAAAGTAACAACTTTACATTTAGAAACATTCATGTACAATTTGTTTGTATCATAACAATCACTCACGTTATCAAGATTATTCTGAAGAAATTTAGTATCAAGTGCAGTTTTAATAATACGGAATAGTTTAACATCAGCAAAGAGCAATATATTGGAATTTATATCCTTAATATCATTAATATAAATATTAAAAAGAAGAAGAGCTAAATGAGAATCTTGAGGAACTCCAGAGATAATATTATACATATATGAGTTATAATTTTTAAATTTCACGTACTGTTTCCGACCTGATAAAAAGGATACAGGATACAGGAGACCTGATTGGAACAACCTTTTTGCGAGTATATACCATGATCAACTTTGTCAAAGGCTTTTGCGAAGTCGGTGAATATTACGTCCACCTGACAGTTTAATTTAGATGCATTTAAAATAAATTGTTGCAAAACCAAAAGATTATATGTAGTGGATCTACTAGACATAAATCCATGCTGATGCTCATCAATTATACAATTTTTAAAGAGGGGACTAATTTTCCTATAAACAATACGCTCGAATATTTTTGGGATTATAGATATTATAGAGACAGGTCGATAATTAATTATATGATTTATATCTCCGCTGATAAAAACAGAGAAGACGTTCGATATTTCCATTTATCTGGAAAGAGAACGATTGAATAGTATTAACATTTAGATATGACAGTAAGTCATAGTGTCAGCAGTGTCCATAAATACAAACGAAAATTGAACCGTTTCGAGAAATTATAATATTATTAAAGTTTGAAAATTCGTTAAGTTTACGGCTATATTGGACAAGAAAAATATATTCCAAAAACTCCTTATATTTTCAACTTGAATTAAATAGGAAAGAGAGAACATTTTCAAGAAACAACTGTTAAGTATGAGCCAGCCACATTATGTATCAAACTTGATGTGTACACTTTTCGTCTTAGCACGCGACTTATTATAAATTGTAATATAATATTATTACCGAATATAAAATATGCATGAACACGAATGTTATACCGTGGCAGCGTTTGCGTAATTATAATTTTTCGATCAAATATTTTCGAACAATCGAATTTAATTTATCATCGTAAACTTGACCGACTTATAAATAGGTACATATTATTATATTATACATATAGGTACCTACAAACTACAGTACCTACTATATTATAATTATTATATAAATTACTTGATTAATAATATTATATAAAATAGGTAGGTACAAGATTAATGTTAGTTGTGTGTCGACATTTCTCAAAAACGATATTACAATATATTATTATAAAATATATTACAAACATATTGTATTACCTATTATATGGGTAATTTAAATAATATTACTTTATAATTATTATTAATATTAGGTATATTTTTATACTTACTAAACGTCTTTGTCAGTGTTATATGCTTACAATAGAACATAGTAATTTTTTAAGACTTTATATGAAATTTAGATACCTACTTTAGTACCTAAAGACCAACAAATCATAAAATACGAAATTGATAAAAATTGAAACAAAAAAAAAAAAAATCCAAAATATTATAATCAAGGAAACATAGGTAGGTATATATTTATGCGTTATAACGGAGATATTTTGGTAATCGACAATTCGATATATCGAATATTATATATATAATAATTGTTTTAAGAAATCCAACATCAGTATAGTTAATTAATAATATAATTATAATCGAAATATAATATGATTAAAAAAAAAATGTAATTATAGGTAGGTACACCAAACAGCATTATACACATTACATAAAGGTTTATATTTTATATATATATACTCACTTTAATAAATATTGTCTCGTTGCAGTGAAGGTAGATAAGTAGTACGTTTTTTATACGGTACCGGCGCGCTTAAACATCTAACGGCTTTTTGAAAAGTTCGTAATAATGTTTTTCGTAAAGTGTACAATCTTGTCGTCTTCGAGAGTGCTTCTTTCACCGTACGGTCAAACCTATACGTCATATATAGGCACGATCGGCGGATAAAAAAAAAAAAGGTAAAACGTAGAAGAAATTAAATCTAATCGAAAAAATTAAATAATAACTCAACACGATGAACTTTTTTATAAATATAATAATATAATGTCGTTGGGGGGCACTCGTTGGCGGAAACCGTTTGAGCGCGCGAAATCGTTATTTTTTTTTTTTTGCGTGTTTCGCGGGTACTTCGCAACTCGGCCGTCAAAATTTCGATAAAATTCCGAAAGATAAGATTCCAACGAGGAAAAGCGAAAACAACAACAACAACAACAACAACAACGATTTCGACGAAAAATAATAATAATAACAACAACAGTAACGAAAAATAGTATCGTTTTGATATTGTTATATTATTATATTATACTATTAAAATAATAATATCTATTTGAATTTTTTGTTTTCAAATATTATTATTAATATTATCACACAGGTGTAATATTATTATTATTAATATTATAATCACTCGGGTGGTATTTTATAACCACAGGTAAACACTCAAACCAAGAGCGGTAATAAAAACGCGCGCGGCGACCAGACGACGACGACGACGGTTGTACGACAACGACAGCGACGGTGACACGGCCAAGAGCAAGTCGGCGCACGGCGCGCGCAGTGACGACGACGTGACGGCAATGGTGTTCGGACAGCCGATTGAGAGGGAAAAAAGTTAAATAGAAAAAGAAAAAATATTTCACCTCCGCCGCCGCTGCTGCGGACGACTGTGAAAACCACCCCCCCAAAATCCAATTGCGTCTCTATCGGGCGGCGGCGACTCTGCTGGCCTACCTTGGAACGCGTTTAATAATAATATTATATTATTATTATATTACAATATACATCTATTACGGACGTGCACGCACACAAACAAGAGATACGTAATTTATTATTATTATAATTGTGTGAAGTGTGCGTGCGCGATCGTTCAACGAGTGTATAATATAATAATATATGTAAACAAATTATTATTATAATGTGGTGACGACGACGGAGATTAAACCGAAATCGTATTTCATTATTATTGTAATATAATATCTAACTATATTACTATCCATAGTATATAATATTATATTATTATCCAGCGTGATTCACCAATCACCAGGGCCATTTTAGGAATGGTGTATTATAATACAATTATAAATGTTTGCATAAAATATAGTTGATTTTGTGCATCCGATATTTTAGATAAATTTATAAATAGCAGTGGGAAAATATTAAAAATACCTACATTTCGAGAAAATATATTTAATTGAAATTTTACAAATTTTTTGGTTATTAAAAATGTATGAAACGTTGAACTGTCATAATTAGGGATTGAAAATTTAAAACCAAGTTCCAAATAAGTAGTTAAATCTGCGGCAAAAAAAAAATCTAAAATCTATTCAAATACAGTTTTTTTTATAGCTTTTATTAATTATTCCAATTTGGATGAAATTGTACATATTAAACTATCAAGACTAACTATTTTAGTTATATTTTGTAATTTAAAAATCTTATTCGTGGGTGCCTAAATTATTGTCTAGAGTATACTTTATATTATATTTGTAATATTTAATGTCGTTAATGACTTGTATTAAAACTKTATATAACATTGTATAATACCTACTATGAATGACTGAGTTAATCGGTTACACAATGAATCTGATTTGATTAATTTGGAATTTATTTCGTAGGTACCTACATTTTTTTTATTTTTTAAATAATAACAATATAATTAATATAGTATAAAATATCCTAGAATGACAAATCGTCTCCATTTAGAATCGTTTTTTGTGTACAATATTATATCGTTGAATTCAAATTTAATACCATCSATTACAGTGACTCTCTTGTAAACTACTGCATGTAGGTACAGCAGAGGATGCCGTTCTCTCAAAAATATGTAAAAATATCTTTTTCATAATAAAAAATAAAAATTCCTGTTTGAATTTATATTTGAATCTTTTAACGATTTCTCAATATTGTAAGATTAAAAAGTCGACAACTAGTCCATGTGGGTTTTCGAAAAAAAAATTGTTGATTCGCTAACCACTCAGTTGCATCCAAACACTTCATGCTATCCTTTCGTAGATGACCAAATGCTTTATGTTATTTTATTATTTATAAAGTTTTGTTTAATATACAATCGATTTTACGTTCACGGACAGACTATACCGACAAATCGTCGTATCGGTTCTTGATTATGCGTTACAGACATCAACATCTTAAACTATTTTTAATCGTAGGGTGAATATTCCATCGTCCATCGCAAATGTTGGTGTACAATAACTTCCACACCGTTACTCATTAAGGAAGAAAATATCTAGGCTACGGTCCTGCGAACTGCCAAGCACGTTCAGTCTCCTCGTGTATCATATTATTAGTTGTGTTATTCATATCCATTATTTTAATCGGTTGATGTATTATACTATGTTTACATTATTGTGTAGACGATATTTAATATATATAAGACGGTATTGTCTGTAAGAGATTCGATGAAATTTACTAATGTCATTATAACTATAGTGCGCATCACTGAAGAATTTAAATTAATCTTATAAATAGAGTTATATACTTAAATTAAAATCTATAAATTCATCGCTGAAACTATCATATTAACATATTATAATATGGAATTATAACTATAGGTGGGTAGTGATTGTATGACAATGACGTCCTACCCAGTTGCAAGTAATACGCCAATACAAAATGTTTTTTTTTTAATTTTTGAAGTATATGAAAATAAATTGTTATTAAATTAAATTTTGTCTTTTATAAATTTAGAGTAGATACCTATATTATACTACATTATCATTGTTGAATCTGTAGTAAGTATATATTTTTATGTTACGATCAAACTGGGATAGTCGGGCACTGTGCACAATGCCCAATTTTAGTGATTAAAGTGAAAATAAAACACATTGCGCGAAGGGTAATGCCACCATATATTGTATACAACTATTACTTACTGTAAAATAAATATTATATTTATTTATTTTTACTATTTTATTATTATTGATTAGAATGATTAGAAGATACTTACATAATATAATATAGTATGAATAGTAATCGTAATTTATTTTTATTTTAGTATAATAACAAAGTAGCTACTATTACATTTATTTATTTTAGCGCGGATTGCTACTGCAGAGACTGGCACTTAGAGTTATACAGTTTGCCTGCCACTTTACATTTATACTTTTTTATCTAACACTTTTTACGTGCAACCACATCTACCGTGAATTAGGGAGACTATAAACTACATACAGATCAACTCACTCAGCTGTATAACTGGTGTCGAGTGTACCTCGTTACTGAGTATCAACAATTCTATACATACATTACACACTACATTTTAATATTGACCAAAATTATGTTGGGCAATCCAAATTGTCCAGACATCGGAATAATATGACCAGTCAAAGTAAACAAACTACAAACTAACTGATTGCTTTACCCAGTTTACCCGGAACTGATGGGCATTGTGCGTAATTCCCGGTCATAGTTACGTAGTTGTCATACACAATGCCCGACTACCCCACTTTGTCCTTAAGATATATAACCTGTGGGGCATTAAGCCATTAACTATATTTTTATATTATAGAACAATTCGAGTTGTTTGTTAATATTTTTCTCCGTTTTATTGAAAATATATTTATCAACTTAACTATTTGATTTTTAATAATATAGCAATAAACTAATTTATTATGATAAAGCCAGAAGGTACTATATTGCCTATTTATATAATATGTGCCCTTAACCTCTTAATCAATTATACTATTATGTCCACGGGAGGGTGGACTATTAAATGTTTCTCTCCCTATCCTTAATTTTGAATTTACATCAGTTAATTTAATAAGGAGCAAGCAGTTTGTACACGATTATACTATGCAATCAAACTGCAATAAGAGTAGGTACCTAATTCGATTTACTCTAAAAAACTCGATGTAAAGTTTTTCTTATGTTTACCCTAGAATTTCAAAAAAAAATATATATATACTCTAGAGCAGTGGTTCCCAACCTGTGCAACGCGGTGCCCTTAGGGCACTGCGAGCTCATTTAAGGGGCACCACGAATCATCCGAGAATGAAATACATTATTAAATTATATATTAAAAATTGATTGTAGTTTAAAAGACAAAAATTATTTTACGTACAAAATTACTTAGAATACTATCTGTATGTCCAATATTAAATATTATAGTGTTTCTAATATGTGTCGAATAATTCAATAATAGATAAAAACAGATAAAAACATTGCTAAACTTTCCAAAAATAAGCAACCTCAAATATCTCATTAATTTTAGTTTTTCTCTATTAAAACAAATTTTTTTTTTTTAATTTCAACAATAAAATTATAATTTATTAATAATATGTGCAATAAAATTATTTAAATCAGTTATGAATGAAAACTAGTGTTTATTTTTATCACGTTTCTCGTGATATTCACAGAAGGGCACCTGACAAAATTTGTACAAACAATAGGATACAGCCTGCTAAAAAGGTTGGGAACCGCTGCTCTAGAACTTGTAGACAACAGTTATACCTAATTTAAGTTCCTTAAAAAGAACTTATTGTTATATATAGTTATTTTTTCCCAATCTAAGTGGGTCCAGAGGGCGTTAATAATTTTTGACAAGGAAGGAATGAAATATAAATTAATTAAGAACAATTTCAAGTTAAATTGCAGTGAACTATAGGCAGCTAGGCCCTAGGCCTACGCCAAATAAACGATTTCGAGCCTGCATTAAAAAAATAAATATAGTTTGAACGGTGGGAGAGAGATGGGTAGGTGGGTTTCTAAAAATCATTTTAAGGTAGAAAAAGTTGAGAACCTCTGCTATAATGGTAAAGTTTATACGTGTATTATGTGCTGTATACCTATGCATAATATATTTTTGTTTTTGTTTTTTTTGGCTCATCTGATGAATGATGATCATGGAAGTGCTAGACCAAGGTCGTTACTGTTCAGAGACTATATCTATATTGTATTATAGCTTCTATTGGTATGCTGAAAACAATTTTTCCGAACAGGTTCTCGCGATTCGCAAACAATATACGAGTTTCTAGAATTAATAAAATAAGAAAGGATATATAGTCCTCAAACGCTACAAATTATATGTATAGTATTTTAGGGCTTGGATTTTTACATATTTGCATATTTTTACTGGTATAATAAATAATTACAAAATATGTGTCATGATGGAAGTGTGAATAAAAATATGAACTATTTTAGATCATATTATTTTCGCATACATTTTTAAATAAACTTAACAGTCTTTTTGATTATATTTTACAATCTGAAGTACTCTAAATACTGAATTTATTTTCGTTTTTTTGTGGAATATTATTGAAATAGTATATGTTGTTACTTAATTAAAAACTTACGTACGATTTCGTGAAATAAATATAATTATTATTTTAATGAAATTATACAAGAAATATGCAAGTTAGAAATTTGTAGATGATTCAACAAATGTTTGTGTCAATATTATACACATMAGTTATACTACAACTCGTTATGATCGATGGTTAATACAACACTTGCAGTAAGTTTAAAATAAGCTTAGTGTATTGCTTAAACTTCACAAATAAAACAATGATTTATATTTTTGAAAAATATATGCTTACATAATTTGAATTTTTAAATCCTTACAAA